CCAGAAATCAGAAAATGTGGTAACTATAGTGTATTAAATTGTGTTAAATAAACTATCCCTGACTTCACTACCTGGGATGATGGGAATAACTACGCAAGACGTATACGCGAGCCTAGAGCGCTCCCTTCTTGCTACGCGCGGTCCCTAGCGAGCGACTTGGGCAAGTCTAACGCGAGCCTGGTACTGCGGCGGTCCTGTATATAGTATTCTTTTCGCCAGGAGGATGGATTGTACTCATTGTACATGGAACCACAAGCACGAAGATTGTAGGAAAGCGATGAAAAGAAAGGAACGCATAGAATAAGTGTTACGTAAGTTTAATCGATGTTATAATTGTACAAGTGAAGGACATTTAGTTAGAGAAAGTGTACACGTCATAAAAATTAATTGTAAATTGTACGTAATGCATGTGGGGGTCGCATCATGTTTCTATTTGTGAAAAAAGTTGTGGGGAGAAAAAGATGAGAAAAAAAGGCAAGAAAGAGGAAAAGAGAGAAAGTGTTAAAGAGAGCATGTATATGTTGGTACGAAGTGAAGGGTTGCTTTGCAAATCACGCATGGCATTTTGAAGGGTAAAAGTGCAAAAAGAATCAGAGCGCTTTTCGATTCCGGTGCCAAAACTCTTTCGTGACCTCTGGGCGATGAATGATGCGAAGTTGCATGTTGTTAGGAATGAATGAATGACTGGCTAGTTAATATGTTTGGTGATGTGACAAAGGAAGGCAGGATGCGAAGGGTTGTTGATTTTGAAATATATTCTATCAAGGGCCATCGCAGTTACGGGTAGAAGCGTTAGTTGTGCCTCAGATTTATCAGGTTAGGAATGAGCACTTAATTAAAGGATTTCTGGTTGTCTGAGGTGTGGTCTAATGATATGTTGGAGATTGATGTTTTGATTGGTGCTGACAATCTTTGGGCGTTTCAGAGTGGAAAGGTCGTGAAGGGTACGAATTCTGGGTGCAGAGATCGACGTAGCGGGCGGGGGGAGGAGGGGGCAGCAGGGACAATTGCCCCCCACAGAAAATTTAACTAACTAATTTTACAATGTTAAGTATAATTAAGCTAACTTGGAGTTAGGAATACGATGAGGTACACGAAACCGGCTTGTTCGATAAGTTGCCATGATATGGAATAGAAATAATGCCTTGGGATTATGAATGAACCGAACTGTCAGTAAGTGTTCATGTACCAATCAACCGAATTTGTCATAAATTAAAAGAGCAGCTAATTTCTGGAATAATTGAATTAAAGGATGGGGTCAATTAGAAACTAAGGAAAATACGAAGAAGCAGTTGTACATATATCGTCGACCAGTTTTGTCTTGCTGTCTAATTCCCAGTTTGAATAAAGTTTTTTAGAAGCACAAAATGTCAAAAGCAAATGTAAATGCAGCATTAATTGTTACAAAAACAGTGAAAGGCGTGCAGCCTTGTAAAAACAAATTACCAATCTTACCAACGAATAACAACGATGCCGCTTTGCGTAAATATACATGGATACCAAGCAGGTCACAAGGTTGGATGACTAGTTGAGATTAAACAGCTTCGATAAAATTTAGGACGTATTTGAGATTGCGAAAATACGCTTAGTCAACCTTAGCTATAGGTATTCCGCACTAGATAACAGTTACGCCGGACAACGTTTTAGGACTGAATATTTGGGATTGAGTATAAAATAAAATTAGTAGAACGTTTGAAACTAAACTAAGGCCAAAATATTTGATCCTTTAGGTCTGGTACCGGTTGGTTGCGTAATTGCTTTGATGGAAGATCTTATTTCAGCAGCCTTCACCTGTCTCAGCAACTATGTGTTGCCAACGTAAGTTGGGATGAGCCAAGGAATTAGTTGGTAAGCACGCAAAATATTTTAGATTGGATTGACGATTTCGGGAACGAGATGACACAATAACTAGGGGCGGACATATATAGATTTTGACTTGAGGGGGCACAATCTTGTTTTGAGACCGATCGCGTTGAGACCGATCGACCCACCACTGAAATGTGAATCCAGACCGACTCTTGGTGAGTTGGTGTGTTGCAATACAATTGAGTACAAAGCATGGAAATTGATGTCATTTATTAGGAATTTTGCAAGAATACAGTTTGCTGTGAAACATCGTATTTTTATTAAGTGTCCGCGCTTTGTCAGTTTTGACCACGGTTTAGTGATTTCGTCAAGATCGACCGTGTCTGTTAGATCGCGCTCACGTACGGAAGAGTCAACAGTTTACTGAAGCGTTCCTGGTTCATTACTGAACGTATAATAGTTTTCAATAATCTCAGCTTTGAAAAGCTGCGCTCCGCAGATGCGGATGTTACAGGCTGTCTGGCGTGTAACTAGGATTTTTGATTGACCGAGACACTTCTGAGGGGTCTGGGGGCATGCTCCTCCAGAGAATTTTGATTTTCTAGGGTTTAGAAACGCTAATTCGTGCATTCTAGGAGCAGTTCAAACGAAAAATCAATTTCATAAACAGTGACACAATGATATAATTTTATACTGTACTGTAGTTTGCCCGCAATCTTGAGGCAAAAGTTATACAAATATTCTTGGTCGAACATGATCAGGTGCATAATAAAAAAGTGTTTGTGCCCAATTGTTGTAATATTTGGGGCGCTGGCCTGCATTTTTGTTATTGGAGTACTTGTGCACCTATACATGCACAGCCTCCCACTTCTTACGTCACTGTAAGGCAAGAATGCTTCTTCACATGGCCGGAGAACTACAGTCTGTCATTGAACTTGAGTTTTCCTATTTTAAATAGAATATTCACGAATATTCTTACCGAGTCACCGACACGATTGGCTCATACCTAGTTACGGACCTGACTGTAAGCAACAATTGGTAACATCGCCTAGTCAGTGGAAACAATGTTTCGCTCTGGGATTTCAGATAAACCAGGGAATCGTCAGTTCACTGATTGAATTTCTTGATTGCACTAGGCATATAAAACTCTTTGGTAACAAAAGGCATATGTAGTATATAACTCGGCTAAAATTCGCTTTTGCACTTTACATGTTGCTAATATAGTTTAGGGACTGGAGAAATATTGTGACTAATGTAAAGCTATTTTGATTGATATTCGTCGCATTTCGGAGTCTGATTTGGGAGGTTTGAAATTTTCGCTAATATAGAATATCACCCGTGAATGACCTTGCAGTGACCTAAATTCCAAATAAAAGTGCAAACACGTAATCGTGACATATAGATATAAGTAAATGGAAACTTCATCCCTTGGCGCGGGTTTTGACTGATATTTCTTCATATTATTTCTAAGCTGCTTGATTCCGTTTGAGCAAATTTTCAACTCAATAGTTTGAGTCTGATACGTCTCCGAGTTTCGAAAATAGTGGTAAGTTTGCTTCGCATAGTACCGCGTGCAAAAAAACGCATAATTTTGGGACCGACTGCACTTAGTTTCGGAGACCGAGGTGAACCACACCCCACACATTTACGCCCCTGACAATAACATTAAACAGATGTGCTGACAGCTTATAGCATGAAATTATGAAGTATCTCGGTGACTTAGGTCGTTATATAGATCTTACCAGAACGTACCACAACGTCATAACTTACTTCTGTAAAAGGGGAAGTATTAATATTAAAATATTGAGTACAAGGAGATTACAACCGTTTTCTCAAATTTCTCAAAACAAATTACGCAAAGTCTGCGAACCCACATCGTCATTTCTCAGAAATGACGTCTGCATGTGTTTGCAGGGTAAATCAGTACGCGCGGCCTAGCTCATGCTATAAACTGTAATATTTTCGTAGGAAATTTTGAGTTGACAAGTCCGTTTTATGTTTATTATTAATTACACAAACTAAAAATAGCAGATGTAAACTAGGTAAAGACATTGATTCTGAACCATATTTACCTCTATGGAAGAATAATGAGCCGTATGCAGGGGCGGATCTAGGGTAAGTCCAATCAGTCGCGTGACTGACGTATTTTTGCAAAGAAATAATTAATTTATTATTTCGAAATTTGAATAATTAATTCCCGAATATAATATGAAATTCATGTCATAGCACAGAGGAGGTCGGACAAGCAATTAGCGAGTTGTCACGTGAGCTCTCGACCAATGAGATCGCTCTATTTTCCATCGTGCTATCTGCATAATTTGGACAGAAAAATTTGCATTCGACGGAAAATAAATCGAAAAAAAATATTAATATTAAAATTTTCTTGCAAAATTTCAAGTTTAGTAGTACTATTGCTAAAGATCTGGTGATATCTGCAAAAATCTCTGAGGTAAACGTTATTTTCAATGTTATTTTGATGTTTGAAGTTAGTCGACTCCCCGCGACGTGTTGACTCGAGTCTAAATATGTTTACAATGTTTAAAATGAAATATCTAGAATTCCCATGGTTCGATTTTTTTCATTTTTGGTAGTCGTCAAGACAAAAGTATAATCTTTAAATCTGCTGGAATGATCCCGGTGATCCCCCGGCAGTTTTCGAGATATTGACCATTGAAGTGACTATTGTCAACTCGACGTTCGCTAAAATGGCGTCTAATACCTTGGAAACAAAATGCGCCATCAAAGATGATATTTTCAATGAATTTTTGTTAAAGTGTTAAAATATTATTTAGAAGACTTAGAAGTTGTTTTAATATTTTTTTAGAATTTATATCTGTGCGATTTTCACAGTTTTGTTGTCTTTGGCCGACGCGACTGGATCGTGTACGTATTTCAAGACGAGCTGATCTCCTGATACTGGGGTTTTTGTGGCAAATCGAGCTGCGGAATCCTCAGCATGGACAATCCAGGACAAATCAGTGTCATAATAGTCCATTTCAAACCAGCAGAGAGCTTCACTTGTTTTAAAACAATAAACAAGTTTTTATGTATCATATAACAAATTAAGTGGCATGTTATTATATTGTGGGATCTTTTTCTGAGCTGAAGTGGGATCTCTGATCAATTTAATAAATATTATATAAATAGACATCTTCTTGTTTTATTGTTGCATTAATTTTAATCTGAAAAAATACTCACAAAGTAGGTCAAGTGTATGAATTAATTTTTCATAAGTTTATTTACTAAAGTACATTTTTTACAGTTATTTATGTACATACTTGGTCTTATTTGCATGAGTGTACATGACAGATTGTTTTACTTAGATATACCCAGTTATCATTCATAACCTATGATTTGTTTAAAAAATGCTGGAAAAACTAAAAAAGTTAGCCAATTGAAATAAATGCACTAATAACTTGCTAAACATACCTATGGTAGTTGCTATTTATTATATAAAAAACATATGTCAACATACACTCATGCTTTTTCCTACTACTCGAGTCTCCACTCACCAGGTGTCTTTATGAAAATTTTTGGATAAAATCCTATTTTAAAAAAGTCAACCCTATACTTGATACACAGAACATAGACATCCAGGACATCTCCTGCAGCAATTAGTGGGTGCAAATACTTGCATAGTTCAGAAGCAATATAAACAACATGTGTCCATACAGTTCCATAGTCTAGATCAATAGGCAATTCCAGCTTTTAATTTATGCATGCAGAGGGTGACGGGAAGTAAGGTATCATATTCCTGATTATGCTGAAAATTTTTAATAAACTGCCTAAACAACCAAAATATTTCAATATTTACAATAGCTATCACTCCATGTTTACATGGCTACCATTTCTATTTTTCAGCATTATCAGCAATATGATACCATCACCCCCTGCACACATAGTCTAAAAGCTGGAATTGGCTATTGCACTTGGGTCCCTTGGATTCAATGGTGCTGGCCGTATTCTTACATTGAATTCACTGTTTTATCTTGTTCATGAAGAGCAAGGTATTATGCCTTAATTTTCCAAATGATGTCAGTAGTTTTTCTCATGAGCAGCACCGATGCACTTGAATGGTACAGAGTGGGCGATTTCTTCCTCCCCATCACTTTCGTCTTCATCACTTAACTTGTCATCTCTTTATGCCCTATCACCTTGATCACCTCTTTCATTATCATATACATCTTGAACAGGTTCAAGACCAGCCAACCACTCAAGTAAATCTCTTTCTACAAAATCATAACAAGGAAATTATTATGTATCAAAGATACATTGTCATCTCTAAAATTAGCAAAAATATACAAACAGCAATATTTAGATGAAAATTTAAAAAAAATATTAAATTACAGTTTCCACATTTAAACAACCACCCACAACTAGATGCAAACAGGCATCACACTCAGCAAAAATTTATAAAACCATACAAA